AATAGTTGTAAATATTAGAACTGTATTTACTTCTCTTTGCTATCTTTGCTTGTTCCATCTTCATTTTGTACAAATGCCATTTGCAGAGTTTGAAAAAACACCCCATTATTGAAAGGCATGTCTTCCTTGGTRTCATTTTCTATGGTGCTGAAGTCAAGAKCTGGTGGAATTGTTTCACCCTTTAGCAGAGCAGTGAAGGCAACAATGTCTGTCCTGGCCAAGCAGCCATGGCCTTTACAYAGGCCCTCCACTATAGACACCAGCTTTTTCTGTAATAACCAAGACATGTAATTTTCAGTAATTGTTGACTGTTTAGTAGACATTGATATTTTGGGCTTCCTGTGCCATAAATTTAGTTCAAGAATATATTTTAACATTGAATCGCCATTCAGACTGAAGAATAATCCCTAAATTTCATCAAACATTCAAATGGAAAATATGGAATAATTGTGCTCACTTCTTGAGATAAAAAGCCTTGTTCACTATTGGAATGGTCTGGACAGTTAGTTCAGATACAGTTAGTTCAGATTAAAGAAATGCACCCTAAGTTTGTATGCATACCTTTGGCAAGATCTTTCTTGTTGCATTCTTCTTTCTTAGTTCTTGTATGCAGTACTTCAGGAGAATCTTGGATGCATTCAGAACATAATTTATGGGAGACTGGCCTATTTAGATTAAATAAAAACTCTTAGAACTTTCAACTTTGAGGCTGATACTAGAAACACATCATCTGAACAGTGATACATGTAGCTGTTTCTTCACTCCGCCCCCAACGAAGAACGCCTGCACGCAGGCTAGAACAGTGAGGAACTATAGATGTCACATTGGGTTTCCTGTGGTGAAGTTGGGATGCCTGTGCACAGAACGTGCACTGTCTTGTTATCTCCAGTCTCTAACTATGTGTTCTAGATATTTTTGCCAGTTTGAGTGTTTCTAGTGAAAATTTAATCAGTATTTGACAAGAGCAAGCTTTTTTCAAAAACTCCATATATGGGTTGGGATGTCATATTAATAATATGGCTCTTTCGTGCTATCTTTGTGCTTTGTGCATAGTCACAAACATTTCTCAATTTGAATGTTTTTCATGTCATCACTACCAGGCCAGGGCATTGTCTCTGCAATGGAGACATTTATTCCACTGGACAGCCACACAATGTACTTACATTCACTGACATTTAGACCAATGTGATGTGAAGCTAAWGCAATAAAGGGTACAATAAATCCTTCATTATCTTCGTTGTCTTTGAGTATGACCTCCTCACTAATAAACATGAATGAATATTTATAAAAAAATAATTTCTATCAATAAGTGAATAGTCTCCTTCACGGTTACCTGCGCCATCTTGAAAGGTAGCCGTGCCTTTACATCGAAGCGAAACAACCGTTGAGCGTGCAATGATAGAAACCTGTGAATAATTGTCTGTAGTTGTGAAAGAAGGTTTCTATCATTGCACACTCAACGGTTGTCTCGCTTCGGTGCAAAGGCACGGCTACCTTTCAAGATGGCGCAGGTAACGTGAAGGAGACTATTAAGTATTATATTTAGATTATAGATGTTGCTGTCATTGCTATTATCATTTTCCTTGTTCATTACAAAAATTCCATGACAAGAGGAAGTTGCAAAATGCAAGAATTCTACTCCAACAAAAACAGAACTATGAACCGGAAATCAACGAAGAACGGCCAGAATTTCAATCAATCGTTTTCACCTATTATAATAAGCTTACATGGGAATGATTAATTTTTSAATATGAAGCATTTCAATATTAGTGAAATTGTTTTAGACGAGCTAAATGCTACTTCAGTTGTTTATTTTCGAGGGTTTAAAAATTAAAATATTATGAGGCGCCATTTTGCTTCCGTATTCACAATTTATATTATGCTTAAATGCCGACTATTAGAACTAGTGTTAAAACGCATTTCTTATGAGAAAATGATCCTATTTAACAATGAATTYCTTATCATTTATTTCCTTGTTGGTTTGTTTGGGAAATGAATGTCGTCTTTCAACGATGCCAATGACAAGGCATTTTAACTTTTTAACCAGTCAAACATTGACAAAACAGCACAGTTTTTCATATACAACACGACATGCAATCAAAATAYACGCTACCTTTTACATATGGTTGTGCAAATCAATAAGATAGATGACTTGGTAAGAGTAGAAGTAGAAGTTAAATGTTCTACACTCTCTTGCCAAGAGGCCGCCATCTTGGCAGTCTCGATTAAWTTGCGCTAGTTCTCAGTCTTCTAAGAGTTTCCGAGGACGGGACAGGGAATCCAATGAGGAGCGAATAATCCGGTTTGTTATCTCTATTTTTAAATATTTTTAATTCATTACTCTATGTGGGATATAAAAGGAAAGGGAAAAAGAAAAAAGCAAAAGATAGATAATAGACCACTTGGCATTTTCGAGGCATATACTACCATTCAGTAACGACCTATTATCCATCTATTGTCAAGTGTCTCTAAGTGTCCGGATAGCGTATCTCTCGCCGCCACCGGTATAGCATGGAAAGTCGAAACCTCTAACTAGAATGTACATCGATTCAACGTATCAGCTTTACAAAATGCCTCGATGGAGTCGCACCTAACATTTTTTGGATTTTGTATCGGCGGGGTCTTTACCATCCTGTCCACCTCACACAACAAATGAATTGGAATTAATTGTTTTATATCTTGTTTTTTTTTTCACTACAGCGTTATCACTGGGAACAAATCCACGCTCTGAATCCTGTAAATGTGCTACAGAGTTTTGGACAATTACAAGATATTTCCATGACGTTTACAGGGTTTTACAAAGTATATAAACATCGTGTATACGAATTTACAGGATATTTACAGAGTTTTGGACACTTATTTGGATATTTCCATGACATTTTCAGGGTTTTTACAATGCAAAATATCGAGCAAATAAGAAATTTGAGGATATTTAAAGAGGGTTTTGGACATTTACAGTAAATTTACAMACTTTTGTAAACACTTTGTAAATTGATTTACACAGTATTTCCAGGAACTTTACGACAGGGTTAGGACCACGAGATTTTTTCCAGTATTAGTGTACTGTATCTAACCTCCACTATACAGATGTCTATATAGTTCACCCAAAATCTTCCACAGCAACATAAGATTTGTAAGACATTTGCAACAGAGGTCWAATTGTGTGGATAAGCCGGGATAAACTGCATACTCCTCCGGATCAAGTCCACCTGCACAAACTGGCACTCATTTAGAATGAGGCCACATAAAAAACCTTTTTAAAAACTCTATAGCAAGACTGAAAAAAGTGAAATTGTCACTCACGTTTGTCAYACGCAATAAAATAATTATGAAAATAAAAAAAGGGAAATAGATACAAAGTTTAGTCATATTCACAGTCCAYTGCGAGTGAGGTTTGTAATAGTTTTATATACAACTGATGACAAGCATGCATCTTGATAACYCGATATACCCGAATCAGGTCCAATCTAAATGATCGTCTCTTCTTTGTCATCTGGCCCATCAATGTGCAGGACATGATTCTCATTTGCAGGTTGATTTCTTCCCTGATGATCTCTTGCTCTTTTTCTATGATCTCTTTGAAGGTGGTCATAATCAGCTGCATCTCTGTGATCACTCGGTTGCCGGTTRAATCCTTCTAAGTGATCATACACATGAAAATCTTTAGAATCAGATGGAGTACCAAKATCWCTGTTTTCATAGGCATTACCAGTCGATCTGCGYGGCAAGATATCCACGTATGTATCATCTGTGTTTGTGATCTCTCTATTTTCGAAGAGACTGACATCTCGCAATCTACGGGGCGTGGTATCCACGTGTAAAGKATCGTCTYCACTTGTGACCTCRTTATTTTCGTAGAGACTGACATCTTTCAATCTGAGAGGGGAGACATTCACGTGTAGAGGATTTCCTCTGCCTTTGATATCATGATTATCGTAGATATAATCTGSCGACTTGTCTGYCATGCCTGTACCATAAAGGGGATTTTCAGTACTGATTGTTTCACGATYYATTAAYCCGTTTCCAGACGCGTACAAAGGGTTCCCAACACTMGTCACACCGACCTCAGCATAATCATTTTCTCTTCTAGTGYCCATRCCACCTCTTGATTCATCCCTTCTCGGCGAGAGAGCTTCATAGTCATGATTGAGACTGGTATCGGGGTCGAGACGAGCGTATCTAAATGGCCTTCCCTGCACTTCTTGTGATGGCGGGAACGCAGGCGTTACRTCAAGTTGCTCATAATCATGTACTTCCAAATGRTCAAATTGATGTGGTAAGCTACCCRTTGAAATGCCGTTTGGCAAATCATCCCATGCAGTTTGCCTACCAATACTCGGTTTTTCAGTCACTTTATTGGTTAYATTTCGATTGTTGTCGTGTGCRGGAGTGRTGAACGTCGGTTCCRTGCTTTCAAATGCAGTGTCGTCCTGGAGATACCCATTGTTTTGAAACGAGAATTCACTACGGGTTCCGGTTTTCTGCTTCTTGGCGAGAAATTCTTTATTCCTAAAACGAATAAAGTAAGAGCATTGAGATGGAGTCATTTACAGTTTCTTCTTGAATGTCTCTAAATGGATCATTAATTATACCCTGATAAAAGGGGGCCATATTGGAACAATCAAGAAATGTGTATATTCAATATACAAGTACGTCGTAATCGTGTCCTTTTGACAATTCAATGTTGTCTATGGTGTCTATACCAGGATTAAATTGTCGGCAATTAATTCGAATAGGGCTATGGCTAGGGCTAACAAATTAACTGAAGGGTGAAAGAACTGCGTCTATGGCGCACACTGTGCGAAAACATTGTGGTTCTCCTAGCCTCCTTTGCAAACAACACTTCATTTGCGCTTTTTGGACCTCTCAGTCTAGTATATTTTTGGCCGAGCGAGGGCCATAGTCTCACTCGGTCATATTGAAGAAGACGGGATGCCCAAAAGTAGAGGAAGAGAKACAGCCGGCGGAGGAGGCTAGTGGTTATCCAAGTAACCGCAATAATAATTCACTTCAACACCTTATCTTACCTCATATAACGCACAGCAAAGTATATTATTGCCAGTACTAACAGAATAACAAATAGCACAGACAAACTTATTGTAACAGAAGTTGTTGTRCCGCTGCTGYYGCCACCACCTTTTTGCTCTCCTGCAGTCGGAACGACGGCATACAAATCACATTCAGGGTTTAATTTGACAATCTGCGGCCCCTTAARGAAATCTTGGATGACCTCTTTCGATTTAGAWACCAGCTTGCAAAGACTTGCCCTAGKAACAACCTTGCCTTTAGCTAAGGGGTTCATTAKGGCAAATTCAATTGTGAGGACTTCACTTTCTGTTAGGAATACAATTGGGCTGCTGAGAACGAGGATATCAGMTGAGGTGAACTTCGCCTTGTTTTCTGTATCTCTCTTGGTCTTCTGAGAGGATCTGGTGATCATTGATGATGATAATGATATGTAAGCATGGATGATGAATTAYGAATCACGCCAAACTTGAAAAACCTACCTTAATAATTCAATACATGAATCTTTTTCACARTATTTGGTTATTCCTTCTGAGACGCTAAACTTGAATGATTTCTCAGATAACTGCAAGATGAAATAAACCGATTTACAAATGAGGAAGTACAAATTATAAAAAAACCTGGCGATATCAAAGAGGCAAGATAGCTTACTCTTTTGCCGTTCTTTCTGAGTGTCAATGTTATTTTGTTTTCTCCTAAAAAAGAGAAAAATCTGTTTCTTACGCTACAGAAACATAGTACATATACTAGGAAGGATGGGCTGAACGAATGTCGGGCGGTGTTTGGATGTATAGGAACAATACTTTGCTAAATTGTTATTGATATTTACCGATGAAGATTTGACAGTCGACACCGAAGTACATAGGGGCGCATGTCGGTTTAGTTGTAGGTGATGGTGGAGTAGATRTAGTTGTAGGAATTGTTGTCGTTGGACGAACAGTTAATTTGACAGAAGACGGGGTCTCTTCCGGACGTTGTGTCGTTGATGAGGATGACCTTGATRATGACGTCGTCGTCATTTTTGATGATGATATCAACGTTGTCGAGAATAATGGTGGAGGTGTTGTAGTRGTTGCTGATGATTTTCTTATCTTTGAAACAGCTGAAGGTGATGATGAAGCTGTCGATGTTGCTGCAAGTAAAGATGATGATGATGGCCTGATACTTGTTGTTGATGAYGATGTCAATCTAGACGTCGGCATTGGTGAAGGTGATGAAGTCGCTTCTGTTGTCACCATTAGTAATGATGATGATGCTTTTGTAGTAGTTACTGTTGATGATGATAGTGTTGATGTTCTTGTTGTTGTTGCTGCTAATAATGACGATGTTTTTGTAGTGGTTGTTTGTAATGGCGATGTTGTAGTTGTCATTGACAATGACGATGATGGTGGTTGAAATAATTGAGAAGTGAAGATAAGTGAAGGTGTTGGAGAGACCATGGTAGATGACTTACGATAAGTGCGTGAGAACTGTGCAGTCGTTGAAAGTAATGGTGRTGATGTAGACATAAACACCGACGAAGACAAAACCAAAGGTGTTGTAGAAGAAACCTGAGGAAAAAACAMAGGTGAGGAAGAATACAAAGGAGTTGCTCGAGTAGATGAAAAAGATGTTAATGGAAGCAGTGCAAGTGATGAAGAAGAATGCAATGAAGAAAGTGAAAGAACTTCACTCGAAGACGTATGGTAATGACAAGAGGAATGGTGTGGGGATGATAAAGAGTGGATTTGTAGTGAGGAGTGTGGTTGTTGAGATGATGAAATAAGATTTGAGGACGACGAAATAACATTTGAAAATGAGGACATTTGATGATGGATTGAACTGAAAACTGGTGAAGATGAAAGACGGAGTTGAATAGAAGACATGATCTGAGCTGYCGTGGAAATGTATGGAGAAGAAGACACAAATGAAGAAAGCTGTAGAAGGGTGGAACTGGCAATTTCAGAAGACGAAGAAAAGAGTTGAATGCATGAAGACTTTTGATATGGCGTTGAACTGGAAATYACCAGAGAGGAGGACATTGATGAAATTGTGTGTCTTAAAGAAGACGGATGAGGTGAGGAGAAAGGAAAGGCTTGAGTAGAGTATGTTTTATGCGCTGGCAAGGATAGATGAGATGAAGATGACACAATAGCTTGAACTGAAGACGTCTGCACTGGGGTTGAACTGGAAATTTCCATAAAAGAAGATGTTGATGGATTAGAGACTCTTAATGACGAAGGATGTGGAGAAGAGGAAGGAAGGAGAAAAGTAGAAGATGCTGTATGAACTGATGAAGAAAGAAGCATTGATGAGGACGCAACTACAACAAATACTGAGGAAATTACAGGAGGTATCGATGGAGGTGTACTTGAAGACGGCGACACGACTTGAAACGTAGAAGTCAAATGAACAGCAGGCGAGGAAGTTACTGAAGACGATCGTGGTGCCACGATCGTTGATGTCGACGAAGGATGKGTACGCGATCGAGATACAGACGGAACCACAGGTGTTGTGTAGCATATTCGCGAGCCAGTATTTGTAGGGCAGACGCAGCTATATCCATCGGGATTTAGTAAGCATAGATGRGTACACCATCCATTGTATTGWGCACAAGGGTGAAAATCATCTAGAACGAACAAAAAAAATACTTCAGTAGTATTTGCCACATCTTACCTTTAGAAGGCTTGATTTTTATTTATAACAAAACTATTACCTGGCGTATCAGTGTAATTGTGATACACATGTAGRTCTATTGGGTCTATAACGCTCGCAACAGACTTGATATTCTTAAGTGATGTTTTATTGACGCGATACACTTTCTCATGGAGCAAGTCTCCCCAATAGAGAAAGTTCTCCTTCACAGCCAACCCACTGACTGGAAATATCCAAGATGGAAGGATGAGAGCATGAGCCACACCACTAAGTGGTTTTGTATCCGTGTATAATATATCATATTCATCATGAAAATAAAGTCTATTGGTCTCAGAATCAAACGCTAGCCAAACATGGTTGACATGTGTCGATGACCTCCATGTACCAATGACATCTTCTTGGTTGGTGCCATTCATTTGGGATCTTTTAATTGTTATTTTGCGACTGCCGAGGAAATGCGCCCAGTAGATATATCTGCAGAATATAAAATACCGATATTAAACCATTATTGGGACAGTTATACAAAGATAGTGTGCCTGCTACATACACTGGCCTACTAAATATACGGCTCGTGTTCAGTGCGATATAACTTGTTAACCATTAGCCCTACTCCTCCAAATTTGACCAGAACATGGGGCTTTAAACCGGCAATACGTCCATTATTAAGGATTTKAGCTATTTCGATGTCCCACTTAATGCTATACTCAGATAAAAACAAAGAATTTTAACTCATAACTCACCCATGCTTACTATCAAGAGCCAGTGCAACAGGTTTTATAGTAAGTTTAACCAACGCTTTGGTATAACTSCCATCAAGCTTACTGACACCAATATTAAGATTAGTSYYATCATACCAATAGAGATTCCGTCCAATGRCATCGATGGCATGACCACTCGGYTTCATTTTAGAGCTATCAATGAGCCTTTCTATGGAGCTACCGTTGAGATAAGCGCGTGAAGTTSTCCCTTTGTTGTCYGTCCAATACACTTTTTYRTCTAAAGGATCATAGTCCACTGTATTGATGTATCCTGTTTGTCCAAGAGGAAGGGCTTTCCTTGGATGGGAAAGATCATCAAGAGATTTGTAAAAGATTTTTTTGTAATGGTCGTCGGCAGCCAGTAAAAACTCTCTAAAGTGACCTGCGAAAGAATATTCATCATTATCAAAATTTCTSTTCTTGCACGAATTCAGCRTAAGGGCGCATATGGTTAAGTGGTGACTAATGCGAATCTTAACGGTTACTCACATGTTTTCCCGTCATCATTCAGGATCATTCCATGAGTGCAAACACACATATCTTTTTGAGGGCTTTGCAGACAAAGATGTTCACAACCACCTTTATTCACTCCGCATTTGGTTTTACCTGGATCGGAAAGAAAATTCGATTCATAGTGGTGACAATAATGAGACTTAACAATAAGTGAATAAGCCAAAGAAGTGGAGGGATGGAGAGACCAAAAATGAACGACGGAGGGAAGGGAGGGAGGAAAGGGAAGTCAGAGGCCTGAAAGGAGGAAGGAAGGTAAGACGAAGAGATGGCAGAGAGAAGAAAGGTTGGATCGAAAGAGAAAGAATTGAAGTGAACTACGGAGGGAACTACAGAGGAAAGTATTGAGAAAGCTGACGATAAAATGACAGAAGAATGGCTTACTGTAGTACGGTTGATTTGGGTCATAAGCGTAGATATCCCTGGGCGTATTGATATTCAACATTATTCTGATGTCRCTTCCGCTAGTRGTATTCAAACTCCCAATCTTTCCACGACCCCAATTATTACCACGATCTGTCCAGTAAATTCTTTGGCCTATATTAGCAACTCTGAAWGGCTTATTCCCAYTAGTTGTAGCGATGCTTCGTACWGGGCTATTCGAGCTTGTGAGGTCCAAATAGTGGATTTTCTGAACTCTTCGCTCGACCCAATACAAAATCTGTTGTTTGACATCAATAGAGATTCCTGTTGGCTTATTTCGCAATGAGTTGGAGAAGAATACAGATCTGTTCGAGCCATCCATGGAAGCTTTTTCAATCTTCATTACATAGTTTTTGTATGTAGACCAGAACATCACCCTGAAAAAGAATTTCAGTGTAGATTTTAAAATGTTTTTGCTGTTTGTTCGTAAATGAATCAGTAGATTAAATAGCCTGGAGCTACAATCTTTGACAAATTTTTTAAAATGGAAATATTTTAGCCATCGCGAGAGTTGGAGCGCCCTTCTCCTATCAGGCAATCTCCAGAGACTCCATTTTGTATAGCAAAGCATGATGGTAGTCAGTGTACGCCTCACACTTATTACAGACTCGATGTCTTTGAGACCTGTGGCATTTCATCCTTCAATTTCAAACAGTGATCTTTTTAAATTTGTACTTTTTCGCTTACCGAGTTTTCAAATCAAGGACCATTGACGTCGGTGCAGCAACATAAAGCAAAACCTTCCGAAAACTCCCATCTAAGCGGGAAACTTCAATTCGACCTCGTGTTTTGTCCGCCCAGTACAAATTTCTTCCAGCTGTGTCCACTGACAAGTCAACTACCGTTCTCAAGTTGGTTATGACCGTTCTTTCGTCGCTTCCGTTCAGGAATGAGCTGTGGATCTCGTAATTACTTCCAAAAATGGAAGGACTTTCTACCCAATACATGCGTTCACTTATGGGGTCGTAGGTAACAGCTTCGAAAATGTCATTATATCTTGAGATTATTGATTTTGGCTGACCAGATAATAAACCACGGCTGTCGATGTTTGCTTTATAGATTATTTCTGAATGCCAGGCTTCTCTTGTGTATAACAGAAAGGCTGAAGATCCTAAGAATATAACGATAATAGCTCAAAATGATAAAAAAAATGTGATTTGGGCGCGCAAAACCTTTTTTCAAATAGTGATGAAACGTGCCAGAACAAAACGCCTCTCACTTTGTACCTCTTGGCAGGGCTCATTATTGAAACAGCTGCCAAGATAAATTGAAAATGTTTAATTGAGTTGGAAGCTTCAATCTTCCAATATGCTAATGATAATGACGTCAATGGAGGCTTTTGAAACAGTCGCTCAAAAATGTTTTCATGAACACCATCTGGGAATATGGTTATTCCCTACATTGCATACGATAAATTAAATGTCATGAAACCATTTTTAAGCGACTTCTTCAAAGTTCTTATACCTAATGAAGCCTTCTTTGAAGTCATTTTCATTAACAYATTGTGAGATTGAACCTTAGTTCACTCAAAGACGCAACACTGAAATGCAGGAATATTTCACTATTCAATTATTTACTTTATATAGAATCAGTTCACAGAGAATAAGAAATTATTGGTGTCAGGCGTCATAGCACTTTAAAATAATGGATAATATTAAGTATCATATCATATCTTTCCAGTGCAAAGTCAGCTTGTAATGCCGATAAAATGATATTTTGAAKAGAACACAATCGAAGTCAAGAGTTTTTCTGGGGCACTTTTATCGACATGAATTATTTGCGAAGCACTTCAAAAATTTCTTTTATTCTTCTACAGTTCTTGTTCTTTTTATAAATATATCAATTTCAAAGCAAACAAAATCAAATTTAAAATAAACAYGTCGTATTCTTACCTTGGCATAATTCTGTTTTCAACAAGCTGATGACCACAAAACCGACGATAAACGTTTTCAGAAACATCTTGAGGCCTAAAAAGCTCGCCTTGTCACCTGCAAAATAATATTATCAAACCTTTAAACTTACACAGACCTTATAGACTTTAACTAGTTAACCTGATGACGAGACGAACACAATACAAATAAGATATTTACAGTTACCACCAGTTAGCGCATGAAAGATCTTTCCAGTCGAGCCTGTTTACTTTGTGGTACTGAGACGTGTTTTGGCCGACAAACCTACAGTTTARTTTCTGTTGATGAATCGGAAGAGTGCGGGAAGCATATAAAATGACTAAATATTCCAATTTACTGACTAGAGGTGCTAAGTTTTTGTAAACTGCCATGAAAATTAGTCGAAAATAAGTTTTTTCYTCCTAGCAATGACGGGAATCAACACTTTCAAACGTACCCCCACTGATACATGATTGGCCTACAATTAGCATTATGTTTCAGAAGAAATATACAAAAAGCTCTATAACTTAAGAAAAGGAAAAAAAAATCTATAAGCGCTAATATAACGTTCTTGAATATGAAAATCTTTTAAGTGCGGATGAATATTGAGACCTACTACTGATTTCCGGTAGTCCTCATATGAATTGATACATTTTCTAAATACAATATTTTTGAGTAAAATGATGTTTATTAATGCTGAAAGAGACTGTATTCGCTCTAACTATGAAAGTTTAGTTAGTTCAGTCTCTCGTGACCTGAGCCGCACTGGTCGATCGACATGCAGTGAATAAATCATGACAGTGCAGAAAAATATCCAAAACTTTTTTATATCGTACAGACAATCGAGAAGCTATGTAAGTGAGCTTGATATAAAAACGGGTTATCATATTGTAATTTCGCATAATACTTTAATTGAGCGTATAAGTTCAAGTTTTGCATCGACAAAGTCCTCAAGAGTGCATAAATTCCAAAATTACCTAGCTGTCAGATATATAATAGCATACGAAGCCATAGCATAATCAAGTTGTCAATAGAAATGGCGTAATCAAGTTTGAAAATACAACAGAGTACTTTCTCTTACTTACATAATGCAAAGTAGCAATAGTTCTTTCAGGCTTTGTCGTGTATCAGGAAACATATGTAGTTCTTTAGGGCTTTTTCACTACTTCCTCTTCGACGAAGTGAGACCATCGTTGACGTCATTAAGCGATAGACCATGTCGTATCACCCAGACTACACAATAAYATAAACACACAGGGTTCCCAAACATAAAATTGTAGCATCCGTTCACTGGCGATTAAAATGACCACAAAAATCACAGCAAAAAATACACAGTTTTAACAGTCCTAAAAGGTTGAATTTTTTTGCATATTACGATTGCTTCAATTCGATATATAATATTTTCTTTTATAATTAAATAACAAATTTTCTTTCGCTCTCCAGGCGCGTAGCGTCCTTTTACGCATTTACGCACGTGCGTACTAGTGGCAACGAAATATTAAAATTTTCACAACAATTACTGAAAAATTCATACAAAATTGATCCCTTTTATATGCTCTCRATGTCCCTCAAAAGAGTTATTAGTTCAAAATTTCCTGGGGGAGGTCCAGACTCCGTCAATACTCCCACTTTTTGCGGTTGTTAGACCCCAGATCCAAAATATGTGTCGCGGTCCCTGGCATGTGCGTACTAGCCAAAACGTCCACGCTACGCGCCTGCTCTCATTGGTCGAAAGTCGACCATGTGACGCGATGTTGCCTGCCGCGGAGAGCTACTATCAGTGCATCGCGGGAAACTATCGCAGCATAATGCCCTCAATTCAACTAATCTATTATTTCAATTTGTCATGTTATTATCTATGAAATACTTATATTAGTGAAAATAGCGAAAATAACACATTCGCGAGGTTTCTCTATATAATGGAAGTAAGAAAAAGCTATTTTTACGGCATAATTTGCTTTCATATGTAATTATATGATAAACAGAATATTGCATGGTCGCTTGAAGATACGAATTTTATCTTCTCGTGTTGAGATCTTTTCAACACTCAAAGATAAAATCCGTATCTTCGCTCGCCCATGTAATATCCTCTATATACATTACTCCTATTCTATAAATATACGCCGGTTCACTACCTAGTCTAGTACATACTCTTGTTTTCAATCTTCAATATATTTTTCTGCTYATTCTATTTATCCAAGTCTTTTCTACTACATTCTACTCGATTCGTGTCTAACACTTCCAGTGCGATTCAATCCTACTACACTAAAAACARACCGTGGACAAAAACGTTTACKAAAAGTTTTTATTTGATCTTTAAAATTATTTAATTCTTACTAATATATTTTTACTAGTGAGGCCTAGTGATATAGATTACCACGAAGTACCCTATTAATTAATATAAATTTGATAAGTTTTGCTACACAAATAAGCTAGTTCTAGTCTCTTTGTCAAAAAATACATTTATCAGCGTGTAACTAAGGATTAACGATTGAAATTCATATATATTTTTCTATTTTAAGTTTCAAACTATCTCAGACACATTTATATTTGTGAAGTTCRGTTTTTTGCACTCTTTGAGTSTATGTCCATTTCTCAAATGCCACTGAGGAAAATCTTTTCCCAACTTAACAAAGGAAATTCTCCTTTCTCTTCATTGCGCCAGTCATTTTGGGAGCGTACATGATGTTTTGTTCATGCACCATTCTTGAATAGGAATGCCGCCATGTTTGACAAATAAAGATCGGGAAACATTTGATTAGGATGGAATGTTTTGTTGTTGTTTTCATTCTGTCTTAAATATGAGCACTTTCAGCTATTTCATTTAGATTCCGTAATTACGAGTTATTCAAGTGTGAAGATTGAGAATAAAATGACATGYACTGTGATTCAACCTAGTTCCTGGGACTACTCGTCCCGCTTTTCAAAAAGTCCCTGGGAAAGAGAWTAAGGTAGATATGATAAAGTCATTCTTCTAAGTTTCTTTATACTCGAATAGTTTTAGTGTACTCGATGGCKGCACARAGCTGCATCCARCTCCATGCYTCTTCSCCGGAAAGCCGCTGACCATAAAAATTRCTAACATACTGCATGGTAGAGAGTARGCTCGGTGGATTGGAGTGGATTAGTACGCATACAAGCGCGGGAACAAACTCGTCGGCGCCTGCTGGTTCRCAGCCGTTAGTGGTACACGCCATGTTAAGAAGGTTCATGATTGTAAAACAACACCGCTGGACACACTTGAGCTTGTCCTTGGGCGTCTGGAGAAAACAGTCACGTGACATTAGTGCCTATTTATAACAATGTAGGGCTTATTACTCATTCAGAATGTTGTAAGTGGTTTGCTTGGTATCATGARCTACGATCCACGATACAACATCATCTCACAATCTCGATCCCTTTCTCCGCAAACCGAATATTCCAGTACCCAGACCTTCCTCGAAATTTGGTTGGCGTTCACAGAGCTCAATTGTTTTATTCTAAACCTTAAATAAGAGAATCATGTGGATTGAAAAGTTTTACGAAGCTTCAGATTGGGAACGAGAATGATCTGGGTAAGAGAATACCAAAACAATGAAAAAGAGCACAATAATTAGTTTAATAAACATTTATAAATAATTATAATTATAAATTGTAATTATTCGTACCTTATAAGCATTAATCGTGGACAGCTCTTGTTGCGCTGATGGCCAGGGAGCCTCTTTGCGATACAACTGAAGGATAAAAGTTGACGGATTAAATGTTGATAATGAGCAAGTCTTCAAACCTTGAATAAAATCCTTAAAACAGTTTATATAATAAAATATTTAAGTAGTATACTTTAAACATATTGAGTTGTACCTTTGGGATTCGTATTGCCTTGTGAGTAATCCCGACAACTTTCTGAAGACTTTTAACATGTTCAGTGAAAGTCCTGATCAACAGAAAAGAAAGGTATAAAATGAATTTTAGTATTTCACTTTTAATTTATTGTAAAGAAATACGAGACACCCTAGCTTTTGCTTATGTCTGCATTTACATTCAAAAACAACGAGTCTGAAGTTATATTAAATACATGAAAAGTGCTCTGGGTCAGAAACTGTGATTGCGAAGCATTATTGGATGGATTGTCGCAGGACAGGTTTATACATGCATTAGGGGTTCCGGAAAACAATGCGTCCGCCATCTTGAAAAGTGCGACTCGAATCACTAAATTGTAACTCCTAAAGGAATTAAWAGATTCTAAGCTAATGTCAAGTAAATTTACAATACGACATAATGATAGATTAGTTAACTTAGCAACTATGAATGTGTTCTAAGGTACAACATAGTGATTTTGGTCTCACTATTCAAGATGGCGCGCACATTGTTCTCAGAAAATCCTGATAAGAGGCTGGGATGCAATGCCGTCAAAACGAAGTCCAAGGAATTACTCTATAGTTATTACATACTTATCTCTTTCCATGTCTATTTGACCGTTGGGATAGAACGCATCGTTGTATATACGTGCCATTATGTCGCGTTCAATTGCGATGTTGCCCTCTTGAAGCTGTTCCTCAGTGGCTCCTAAATCAAACACAAAATGTATAAATCAAGTTCTAGTTTATTGTTGGAGAGAAGATGGTCTAAATGTTATGTGTAAAAATACAAAGAACTCTTCCTCTATATTTAATAACATGCGTAAATTTTAGTACCGAAGATTCTCATGATAGAGAAAAAGTAGTATATGTCTAGATCTGAATATAAAAACATAGAATATAAAAAAGAACAATTCAAGTAAAAAAGGACCCCCAAAAATGACAACTCAAACAAGCTATAAAATTACCTAGCCAAGTRTCATCTTTTGCGAGGTCATCGCTGAGCTCGTCAAGAAACAGTTCCAGTAGTTTGCACTATAACAAATGCAGCAATTTACATACTTATAAGATGAAACATATTGATACATATGGATGGGGGGTTTTCGCTATCGGGAATGTTTTCGCCTATCGCACGACGGTCAAATGGCCTTCTATAAAGGTGTTTCTCGCTGTAAGGTTATATATTATCCCCTTAACGCATGCTCTTGATGCTTTTTTCCTGTCCCACATGGTTCACAATTTCCCCATACGCATGCTCCTCAAGTCTTTTTGAGCCTATCCCACATGCTTTGCTATTTCACCACTACCGTTGCACTTTAAGTTTTTTTTTTGAGCCTATTCAGGTTGTCTCGTATTTTCCCAATTACACATTCTCTTGAAGTTATTCTGTACTGTCCCACATGCCCTGAAAGTCCATTTAGTTTACCTTTTCGTCAACTGTTGGGCATTTCTCAGGACTTCTAAAGTCGGTGATAAAAGAATTTATTCTTCCTTCGCGAACTTCTAAGAAAAGCGTGATGCAGTTTGTGTTAAAGCATTTTTGACAAAGCATCTGATTCCTGTGAGCAAAAAAGGATAAATGATCAGATATTAAATGCATTTYCGTACTTCCTTGGCAAGAACTAATGCAAGCAATTTGCTGGTTCCTTAGTGAAGACGAAAAGCTTTTTCAGGGATTACTTTAGCAAACATAAAAAATGAAATATTTCCAATAACGATTTGCTCTAGAAAATGGCGTCGCTGCACAATAGATAGAGTTCACTTACTTTTGCACTCGCTCTATCAATCGCTCTAGATGTGATTCAGTTGTGAGTAAGGTCTGGCGTGATCTTGTYAGATATGCGAGGTACGGCATTCTAGCTTGGTATTCACTTTCTATTGAGTCCAGTATCTTTGAACAGCTAAATAAGACGGAAAGTTAAAAGTCAAATGAGTAATGCGAATTACTGAAAATATGGTGATGAATGGAAATATATCGACGGAATTCTGTGTCGGACGCGGTTCTCTCTCAGTGCCTCTTTCTGTTCAGGTATGCAAATGTGTACTAAGGTAAGGTATGCCTAAGGTACGTTTCTCTTAGCCTCAAGTTTATCGACATTCTCAAAAGTCTGGGTTAAAGAAATAAGTGACAAGGAATATGGCTAAYGAGCGCAATGGAAAACCTGAGTATTAGGTTCTTTGGGTGAAAAAATGGAGGTAAAAAAATGGGAGAGCCCTTCCTTTTTTTTTTCTCCCCCCTCTCCCCAGGCTCCCTCGAAGGCCTGAGACTGAGGTTACATCGAGGATTGTTTTTTTTACTTAAACTGCTTAATTGGAGATACAATTGTCTTTTACCTATCCTGTGACAACTGTTTAACACTTCTAATAGTTTCATGAAGCTGTGCAGCAAGGGAACGGTTTTGTAGGTTGATTGCTTCAGCCAGCTGAACATGTAAGAACGTCATTAAGTCGCCAACTGCACTCTTCTTCGACGGACTGAAAATATATAATAAATCTTACATTTAATGTCCGCACTGAGATTAAGCTACATTTTCGCTAAAAGCACAACACAACACAGGACAACACAAAACAACACAACACAAACACAACGCAAAGCAACGCAACGCAACACAACACCAACACAACACGACATGACACGTTTCAAGGAGTACTCCAGTAGTTTTTGGTTTCCTATTTTCAAGAGGTTTTTCAAGAGACCTAGTAAACAAGTTTTTAATTCAAGTGCTTTTCATGGATTCCAATGAGGATCAAGAACCATGTCAACATGAATCAATGACTGATTTGCGTCTCAATTACCTGATGYTAATAATCCTGTCCTTTGACACCAACCAGGGAAGATTACGGAAATCRGCCTGATTTAGTACAAGACGAAGTTTACGTTTGGTATCATCAAATCTAGTTTCTTCATCGATGTCCTCTTCGTCGTCTTCGTCACTTGGAGTCTGCTCGCTATCATCTTCTTGAGTGTCCTCTAAAGCCATGCTGGCCGCCATTTCACTGTACTTGAATATAAGACTRTCGATGATATCTACAATCAGGTTAAAAATTAATGAATTATAGACCTTTTCTGAAATACAAAATYACGGTGCATTGTGGTCTAGTTTCAGTACAAACAACGCCATGTTTGGTAGCATGAACAAAAAATGTTTGTACAGAATCTAGACCACAATGCAATTACTGCTATCTCCGAAAAGGGCTATGGTCTACCAGCATTCAATGCGGTCGCGTTTTACATTTGTTACTATGGAAATTGAGGTTACTTCAAAAATTCATTCGTAACCTGTTTCTATCTATCAGTTTTAAGTTCGAATTTTACAATATCTCAATTCATAGAGTTTAAAGGGATAATATATGGAGTAAAAAAGAATGAGAAATTCATATTACACTTAACAAACCTTTTGGAGTTTTCTCCCCAGCAGCGACCACCTGTTCTTTGGGAATATCAGGAGTAATAGCAAAGTAATCAAGATTCTCGTCAATCTCTTGATATGTCCTGGCGCCACTCTGCTTTTGCCGTACTCTCTTATTACGCTTGAACAAGCYACTCTTTTCCGCTCTGGGACGAAGATCTGCTTCAGGCATGGACTTAGGGCGGTCTACACCTTTTCTCTTTTTGATTTTCTCTTTTAATCGAAGGGTTTTTGATTTCATCTTATGCCCAGCACTTTTCAGKGAATTTGATTTTTTGATAGTTGACCTTTCTTGTGACTCTTGATCTGAGCCTTCGTCACTGGAACTTGACGAGCCGGTCTTTGTAGAGTCGTCAAAACTAATTTGACTTTGCCGATGTGTTGTCTGCTCGTTGACAATTGTACTACTGCTGCTGCTGTACCTGTTATGTGCAAAGCCATCATGCTCATTATCAATGTTCTGATTTGCTGTACTTTCTTGGATCAATACYGAAGTCCTTGGTCTGAACTCATCATTTTCTCCGATTGTATTGAAGTGTTCTTCGATGTCATGAAACCCGCTGTCTATAGCACTCTCTCTTGTTCCACTGCTCAARCTTGATAGAGTGCTAGTTCGGGCACTGCTGCCAGTACTTATGGTACTATCACGAGTAGAGCTTGGTGGGCTGTTCAAGTCCAGTAAGGGAGCATCAAGTAGACTGATAGGGTTGGGTTGATGAGGTAATGGTACTAGAGATGGTACAGCTAAAAATAAAAACGTGTGTTATAACAACCAACATTACAGGTAAATTTTTTAATCATTTYATGGAGAGTGGTTGAACAYTGACGGAAATCATCYTAGTGTCAGCAGTTACAAAACAATTCCAAAATTCAGCTCAAATGTATGCAAACTTGTATTGGAAATGGTTGGACCAGAGAACTAGAGGATTCCCGATTCCAAGCACTGGATTATGGATTCCTAAAAATTGGATTCCGGATTCCAAGCCTTGAGATTCCAGATTCCAAAGAATTTTTGTTTTGGACTCTGGATAATAAATGGCGTGATTTTCAGGGTTTTTTTCCTGAAAATTTTATATTCAGCGTGTCAGTAGCCTGCGCAGGGCGTCAGCGGTACGATGTCCTATGTGTTTTTCAGATTTTAAAATTTTTGCTGGATTCCAGATTCTGAATTCCAAATATTTGGATTCCGAATTCCAGGATAGTGATTCCGGATTCCAAAGCTCTTTTTTACTGGATTCCAGATTCTGGATTCTTTTACACAGCGACACTTGACTTGCATACATTTATGTGCCCATCTGATCATCAATTATGTGACCTAACTGGGATATCCCCAATTGGTCTAACATCTCATGTATTATCAATGAGTTATCCAATTAAATATATCAATTGACCATACCTGGGATGTCATTATCAAAAGACAGCAAATCTATTTGATCATTTGTTGAATTTACTGGCTGTGAAGGAATGTCTACAACATCTGGTTGGTGGCTCTCAAATGGATTATGTGAAAGAATATCAACATCTTGCATTCCACCAAGYGAAGGCTGCTGTGGTGGCTCTGCATCGTGAAGTTGTGGAGGAGATCCAACAACTGGAGATTAAATATAGTCCATCATACTGTTAAATAGTATTGTTTGGGTTCCCTGTGGTATGGGCCTGCAAGGGAGCCCTGGGAAAAATCATTGTTGACAACATCGATGTTTTTACTCTTGTTATTCTCAATAAAGAGAGAAATAAACAATGTAGTTTCTTATGGATTACAGTATTAAAATTTTGGGTAGTTTGCTATTACTGTACTGTAGTAGGAATTGACTGGCCAGACCCAAAAATAAATTTCATATCCTGTTCAGTCAGAAGATTAGAAGCAACACAGGACAAAGACTCTGGTAAAATCCTTGAGAAAAWTTGATTGGCTGATAAATGTTTTCAGTCACCTACTTGTTTCTAGTTGGTTGTGACTGCTACTCGAGCCCATGACAGAGTTCCCAGAATCTCTTGTGTTTAAATCTTTTTCAATGGACAAATTGTGGAAAAGTTTGGTAAACCTTTGYGAGTTTGACCTTTGTCTCATGGATGAACCACTGTCTGAGAGAGAACGCTCTGGTGCCTTCTTGGTTCTTTGTTTTTTCTTTTCTACCCCAAGTA